TCCTTGGTCATTTTAGTTCTCTGCTCTAACTTGAGCACCTAGAATAGTGTCTGACACAGACACAGCAAACACTTGTTAAATACCAGGCGGCTGGTGGGGAGGGGGGGCCCACATCCATACACTTACAAATTCTCTGACCTGTGGACTCCCTAAGGCTCCTCTGCATGGTCCTGCTGCTCCTCTCTACATTCTGAATGTCCCCCTCCACCCCCTTTCTAAATAAAGACCCCCCAGCCAGCCCAGCATCTCTTTCCTTCTCTGACATCAACAGTCCTTACTGCCTATACCATTAGTTTAGCACTTAGACTTTTTTTTTTTAACTGCCTCCAACAAGTGAATTTGCATGCGGATCTCTTGCCTCCCTAAAGTCACTGAAAGTTTCCATAGACTTTGTCACCTTTGGAGAAGAAAGAATTTCAAATATGTGCAACTTCAAAAAGCGTGAATGTTCTTCATAGTACCAAGGTTTTTTATTTGAATGATTTGGATTGTAGAGACGGATGAAATATTTCCTTTTCAAGCTGATTATAACTTAACTGGTCTGTGGTGACTAAAAGTCACCTAGGTAAATACTATAAACTAGTTGATATTCTCAGGGACTATTTACAATTTTGTAAAGGATTATCTGAACCCGTTAAGTGACGTTAAGAACTGTGCTCTTTATAGTTCATTATTGGTTTTGTTACGAACTTTCCATCTTCTTTACTGTCCAGCTATCAGCTATCAAACCACTTGCTGCTATAAATAACTCCTCTCTTTCTAATTTCCTCCTTCTAATTTGCTGTGAACAGGAAAGTCAACAGGTTAGAACAAGGGTAAGTCGGCACAGTGAGGCTCTGCCATGGGAGGGAGAAGGGACAGACGCACTGCTATTTTGAGCTTACCCAGGTGGCTCCATAAACACTGACTAACTCACTGACTCACGAACTCAGCAGTTCCTCCGCAAGAAACATGTAAGTGACTGTCAGCCACGTTCTGTCGGTGGCACTTAGTTACTAGGGACCCACACGTTGCACAGAGTTGTTCCTTTTTATTATCTCTTTTGCTGTTGACAGCAACCCTGTGAGGTTAGGTAGCACACGGACCACTCCATGTTATGACACCACGTGTAAAGCTATGGAAACTGGCCCCAGAAAGGCGACATGATTTGCCCAGTCACACATCTGGTAAAAACCCAGGGGTCCCGCTTTTCTCACTCCTTGCACTAAGCCCATTTGTATAAAGCCACTGTTGTTTCTTTGGGGGTGAAAGAACTTCAGGTAAGCCTCTGATGCAGCCGAGAGAGCAAGGCAACACCACACACTGCTATTCTATACTTTAAAAGAACATTTGCCAATAGTCTTTTGCCAACAGTCTCTGTTTATTACTAACAAGCAAATTCACGCTCTCAGTTCTCACAGTAACAGGGGACAGAAATCAAGAAGACGGCAAATGCTTCTAAATTTGGTTTTTCTATGTTACTTCAAAGATTACAATCTTCCTATGGTTCAAATTAAAATAACGTGAAATACCTGACACTAAAAACCCTCCCTTCCTCTCTACCTGAAAAGTTTAATCTGTCCATCCAAGAAACTTCTCATGTTTAATTTCATTACAGAGGCTGCTCAGACATGTAAGAAACTAGGCTGAAGTACAAAGCTGAGAATCCAAAATTCTAATTTGAAATGCCCGATGTGTGTACCTCTCTGGGCCCTGGCAAAACTGCACGCTCTCTGGTCAGAGAGAATCTGAACTGTGTTCTCCCAGCTCTGTGTTCTTTTCCTTCATTACAGGTTTGCGTGAGTCTTTGCCAATCAACGAATATTTACTGAGGGCCTAGTCCATGCCAACCATCTAGGTGCTGACCAGCAACTCGGTGATTTAACGTCTGTCTCCTCCACTAGGCTACAGGCACCATGAGGAGAGTTACTGCTTCTCTTTTGCTTGCCATTGCGCTGTACAACCTAGCAGAGAGCCTGGCACACGGCAGGGGCTTAACAAACATTAGTTAAATGAATGAAGAAGAGACAGACAGAGACAGAGAGAGAGACAGAGAGACAGAGAGAGAGAGGAGAAGGGGCCACTTTGTATGTAAAGGAATCGGGGTTTTTCACTGCCCAGAACATGCCTCATGATCCACTAGCGATCTGATGAATTCTGAAAGGCACCACATGCAATGCACAGCTGTAGGCACAGCAGCTGTCATGCAAAGGAGCCGAGGCCCAGAACTAGGAAGAATCCAGCCCTTTGTTTCTCTCTGCCTGCCTCATAACCTAGATGAAGTTAGGTCCACTGTCAATCTACCTGTCAGCTGCATGTCTTCAACGTCCGGCCTTCAGAAGTACTAAGTTAACGTTACTACTGAATGCAATTTATGTTGATTTACTCTCTGACATCACTGCCTGAAGAGATATTTAAATGTCTGAGGTCACACATAAGACCACACATAAGACCTAAACAGAACAAAGTTAACTTAAAAAGTTCTCCGTTTCAGGTCTTTGCAAGCTATAAATTAGCTTTCACAGAGTCATTTAAAAACAAAAAAGGTTTGACTCGCTATTTAAACTCTCCAAACTTAAAGTCATAAAGAGCAAAGAGGACTCTACCAGCAAGCTGTTCAAAACAGGCTGTTAAGTTCCAAGAGTGAGCTTCATGCAAGTATGTTCATTAAAGCCTAAGATTCAGTGGGTTATATGCTACCTGGAGTAGTTATAAAAATAATAATAGCATAATAAGAAATATGAACTACTTAACTCAATATAAAAACCCAGCAAACTAGGCAGGTATAAAAAATGAAGATGGGTAAGCTCACGTTGTCACTAATGAAACAAAAAGTTTACTTTCAGTTTTTTTCTCCATATCCAACTAAATGAAGAGAAAGAAAATTAAGGGATAAGTAAAAAACAAAAGCAAAATCTAATGAAATGTTCTAAACATGCACACCGAAGTATGCCAAACAGAGAAAAGCCTTAAAGTGAAGTTGCTATTAACCTATGAATATATTTCAATATAGGAGTTAGTTGTGCTTAGTGGCAGAGTAAAGACTTCCCCTTCCCCCCAAACCCCCGCCCCTGCAAATCACAACTTACCTGGAGAGGCTGGTGACATTAGTTATTAACAAAACGAACACTAAATAAAGGAACAAGTTGAATTATGTGAAGAGTTTACAAACAATTATGCGCTAAGCCTAATATCAACAAAATCTCAAGTTAATCTCAGTTAAAACAGTAAAAAAAAGACCTGGGAATTTTCTAGATCCTGATCATCTGATATTCAGGATCAAAGCATTTAATGGCCTAAAACAGCCACAAAATCACGTTCAATAAGTAGAGAACATGCATTTAGTAAAATGCCCACAAACTGTCCCTTGGATGTGTTAGTTGTATTTGCATTTATGCTGTGAAATACACAGACTATGTAACGGAAAAATCAAAAGACTTCTTGCGTACATTCCTAAATATTATTTTTACATTTTTCCAAAATCAAATTTACGTTATGATTTTATTTACAGTATGACTTCCACAACTCATTTTACAATGTTCTGAGCAAAGGACGGACTCAGTTAAGTTGACTACAAAAATTTACTCTGGCAGGAAAAAAAAAAAAAAGGATTTATACTACTAAGAAACTACTATACCGTGCCTTGGCATAGATTCAAACTGGGCTTTAAAAAAGAGTCACGAATCACGTTAAAATTCTTGATTTAAAAAAAAATCCCAACAACGTATCAGAATGTCAGCTGGAAATATGATATATCCAACCAAACTATTTTCCTACCCAGAAATGATCCCCTCCCTTTCCTAAGTGTGACTACGCTTCACCTTTTGTTTAAAAACATCATAAAACCTACTGGAATTGCGTCAAAAGTGACAAAAAGCACACCCTTCAACTTCCATCTTGTTAATATCCTAATTTCGGGAAGATCTGTCTCACCAAGACCTTCGCCCATCCCGGGAGTGTTGCAATCCTGCGCAGCACAGCCAGGCCCCGCGTGGAGTGGGGTGGAGTGGGGTGGAGCGGAGTGGATTACGGCGGCACAGCGTGGCAGTGCGTGCAGGCCCCGCGTGGAGTGGAGCGGAGAGGGGCCAGGCCCCGGGTGGGGTGGAGTGGAGAGGGGCCAGGCCCCGGGTGGGGTGGAGCGGAGAGGGGCCAGGCCCCGGGTGGGGTGGGGTGGAGCGGAGGGGACAGAGTGGCCGGGCTCCGGTGGAGTGGAGCGGAGAGTGGTCAGGCACCGGGTGAGGAGGGGCCAGGCCCCGGGTGCGGTGGAGTGGAGCGGACAGAGTGGCCGGGCATCGAGTAGGGTGGAGTGGAGCGGACATAGTGGCCAGGCACCGGGTGGGGTGGAGCGGAGAGTGGCGGGGCCCCGGTGGGGTGGAGCGGAGCCGACAGAGTGGCCCGGCCCCGGTGGAGTGCAGTGGAGCGGACAGTGGCCGGACCCCGGTGGGGTGGACTGGCAGTGCCCGGCCTGCTCCCGGCTGGCGCGGAGCGACAGCGCGCCGGGCCCCGGGTGGGGTGGGGTGGGGTGAGGTGGCGCGGAGCAGAGCGGCCCGGCGCCCGCCGGCCCTGCCCCCCGGAGGCGAGCTCACCCGCTGCAGCTCCTGTCCCTTCCTGCACAGCCCCGGTGGACACGAGGCCGCCGAATCTGCGGACCTGGAAACGTCACTCCGGGAACACATTTCATGACGCTTTCGCTGGCGAACAGCACAAAAAGCTCAGAATCTACCGGCGCGCACGGCTCTGGAGAGACCAGACGCCGCTCCCACCCGAGTCCGGCTCCTGCTGGCGTCCGCGAGCGCAGGGACAACCAGCCCTCGGGCGCCCGGCCCAAGTTAGGGAAGAGCCGGAGCGCGGCGCCCGGCCGGCGGGGCCGTGATTCAGCAGCGGCCGGGGGGGCAGGGAGCGCGGGCTGGAGGGACGACGGCCGGGGCCGGAAAGGGGCACGGCGAGCCGCGGGCGCCGCCCGAGCCCGGATCCGGCCCGGCCGGGCGGCGGCGGGGCGCCGGGCGGCGGCGGGCTCCTACCTTTCCTGCTTTTCGGGGAGCTCCGCTTGCTCCGGGCGCTGGCTCGCTCTTCCTCAATCGCAGCTGCTATCTCGGGGTTGTCTTCCCCATTGTACCAGACCAGGAGCTCCTCGCCCGGCGCGATTGGCTGCGGGGAGAGAAGAGACAGGCGCCGGGCCAATCAGAGCGGCGGTTGTTGGCGGGGCGGGCCGGGGCGGGGGCGGCGCGCCGGCGGCCGGCCCGGCAGGAAGGGCTCCTTAACCCCCGGCGCCGGCCCGGGCCGCGCGGCCGCGGAAGGGACCCTCTGCTGGAGGGAGGCCCTCACTGCCGCCGCCGCGTCCACGGGTCCGCGCGGCAGGCGCACGGGTCGGACGAGGGGCGAGCGCTTTCAACTCAGACCTGGCGCGGGCTCCGAATCTTCCCGTTCAAAACCTCACGACTACCCACGCAGAAGGAAAACTAAAGCGCGGAACCATTTTGCCCACGAAATCTAAGCTGGTGAGAAATTTAAAGCATAACTACAAAGAACCAGGTGGTTTGGAAAGAGAAGTGCTGCAAGCTCACTACCAGCGCAGGTTTCCGATTCCCAGAGCAGGTTGAGCATGACGAGGAAGGGGGGACGCCGCCGCACCTTCATCGGTGCCCGCTAACCCCATCAGGGAAACGCCGGAGAGGAGGCGGGCGGCGGGCGCGGGCGTCCGGGCAGGGTCATCGGCGCACTGCCAGCCAGCTGCTCGGCCCACGGGGGACACTTCACCACCCTGCCCTCTGACCACACATCGAGTTTACATCACGACTTCTAGATTCTGAAGGAAATGCTTAAAAATACCTCACATGAATTATGCTGCTAACAGCCATGTGAGTAGTGAGCACATATCCACCATTACTGATTACACCTAGAACATCATCCTGAAGAAAAAGTATACTGAGTGCAAACACTGGACTCCTAAATAGGATTTAAGGAAATGGCTTATTGGTTTCTGTTCAACAAGTACCAAGAGTATCAACACAAGTAAAATTCCACCTAAAACCCAGTGAATAAAATAAGAATCCATGAGTCCATACTGATAAAATGAATAAAGGAAGGAATGAATGAACGAACAAGTAAATAAATAAAAAAGGAAAACTCTTCCTTAAAGTAGAGCCCAACTAATCAATGAAAAAGAAACAACCGGATTAGAAAATCACGCCTTAGCAATCATCACAGTAATAACTGATTCAGGCAAGAATCATCATCAATGATGCTAAAACTAGTAGGTGAAAGTTTGAAGAATAACAGAATATTTGCATAGTCTCAAAACAGCTCCTCATAAAACATTTATTAATTACAAAAGGAAAAACAGAATCTTTATGATGAGACAAATTGACATCATGTGCCTCCTGATACAGTGCACAGAAGAGAACATAGCATTACTTTTGGAGATTTCTGCCCAAAATGCATAAATGGAATTTAATCATAATGAAACACAAGAGAAGCCCAAACTGTGAGACATTCTACAAAATAACTGACCAGTTCTCCCAAAATTGAAAAGTTGTGAAAGACAAAGACCAAGGTGCTGTCCATATTGAGGAGACTGATGAGACATTACAACTAAATGCAAGTTTTCTTCTCCTATAATGACATGATTGGAACAACTGACAAAATCTGAATAAGGTGTACAGATCAGCTAATAAAATACTGTGTCAGTGTTAGCTTCCTGATTTTGATCATTGCACTACGGTTATGGAACAGGATGCCCTTGTTTTTTTGGGGGGGGAATTCTACATAAGATGTCAGTTTAGAAACAACATAGTTCCTCACTTCAACATACCTTCTAGTCTAGATAAAGCCCTTGCAAGTAAATATTATTTTCTTTCATTCTCTGTAGAACTCACTGTTGTTTATATAATCCAAATTTTAAAATATTCTAAATTCTTTCAAAGAACAAGCCACTGCCGTCCTTTACTCCCCCAAAGATGGCTAAAACCTGCCATTTTCTTATCTTGAAACCAATGTATTATTTTTTTCATTCCTGAATCAGTTATACCTAAATCAAAAAACTTAACCTAATATGTAAGATTTTAATGAGTTAAAATAGACATTACACATGCCTTTTGGCACTCTGATGAGCTAATCTGTTTCTGTTGAAGAACAGGCTTTTTTATTTAAGTAAACTATTTCTAGTTCCAAGTGTATAGTTTGCTTCTCTACTTTTTTGTTATAAGTCACATATTTATGAAATAATGGCATCATATGTCATATAATATTTCAAATGATCAGGGTTCGCAGAAATATGTAATGTCTTAAATAAACCCAAAGTAAAAAAGTACATGGAAGAGAGTGAGGAAAAATGTATTCCCAATTTATTCTTACCCAAACAGCATAACCAGAACACTGGCTAGAAGATACTCACTGGACATTTTCAAGATACTGCCTAAGCTCAGAGCTTAAGTCTCCATGTTCATTCTACTGCAATCTTCTGCAGAGAACTAACTGTACTAGCAACTGGATTAAGCTAAATATCGGCACAAACTCTTTACTTAGGAGGGTACTCTTGTTGCAAAACACACAATATAAAAATATACCAGATCTGTTTTTACCTCAAATTTAATATAAAATTTCTAAATGGCTAATGAGCTAGTGAATAGCTAGATTAAGAGCAACCTCATTTGTTGGCTACTGAAAAACCTTCAAAACTGTTAGCAACTGAGACGGTTATTATATTATTAAGCTATATACTTCCCAACTTCATTTTAAAACAACTACACAAATAACAGACTTTTATGAAGAGGGAAATAATATATTTTTTTAAATCAGTGATTGTTTCTGTACTGAACTGTTTTTTCTTCTGCACTGCTTAGCACATTTAAGATTTTATAAGTCAAATTTCAGAAGAAAAGAAAAATTATGACCTTAAACACAGGAAATATAAACCCACATTAAAAAAAATAAAGTCAAAACACCTCTTTTTTTTATATATTGCATTTTGATATTTGTTTTAACAAATAACAACAGCAAAAAGACTTGAAACTCTTCCAACTTTTCCTTTGGGTTCTGACAGGCTTAGAGAACTAAGCATACTCTCTTCTCTAAATATCAGTAAATATAAACTTGAAATTTTACCAGACCAATTAGGAAGAGGCAAGGTTCCAATAAATATCTCTGTACTAGGTTCAAATCAGAGCAATACTCTAGAATTACGAGAACACGGCATGTCCACGTGTACCCACCTACAACTACTATCTGTTTCCCAGCATGATATTTTTTTTTTTGTGAGGAAGATCAGCCCTGAGCTAATATCCATGCCAATCCTCCTCTTTTTGCTGAGGAAAACCAGCCCTGAGCTAACATCTATTGCCAATCCTCCTCCTTTTTTTCTCTTTTTTCCCCCAAAGTCCCAGGAGATAGTGCTATGTCACAGTTGCACATCCTTCTAGTTGCTGTATGTGGGACGTGGCCCCAGCATGGCCGGACAAGCGGTGCGTCGGTGCGCGCCCGGGATCCGAACCCGGGCCGCCAGTAGCGGAGCGCGCGCCCTTAACCACTAAGCCACAGGGCCGGCCCCCCCAGCATGATCTTTTAAAAGTCACAGGTCACACAGCCTCAGCTCTCAAATGGCTGAACTGATCTGAAGACTAGAACTCATACTTCTCCCTACGGCCGCTAGGCCCTACCTGATCTGGCCCCTGCCCACCTCACCAACCTCATCTACCACTCTCTCCTTGCTCCAGCCGTATTGGCCTTTGTTCTATTCCTTTAAAAAAAAAAAACAAAAATCGAGCTTATTCCTTCTCCCAGGCCACTGCTTGTGCGGGAGCCCCTCTCCTGGACTGTTCTTCCTGCAGACATCTTTGCGTGGCTGGCTCCTTCCCACAGCGGTAAGGGTTCAGATGTCTCATCTTACCCGACCCACCTCTCCTCCGACCGGGTCATTCTCTATCCCATTTTCTTGTCTTCAGAGCACTTATCACTATCTGACAATTATTCTGTCTACTTATTCACTTGCTTATTATCTGTCTCCTCCCCCATAAATTGGAAGTTCCATGAGAGCAGAGGCCTTGTCTGTTCTGTTCACTATTATAGAAGAATATCTGGTACATGGCAGACACTCAATAAATATTTGTTGAACTAATGAAGAGATGAATAAATAGACAGCAGGCTAACAGCTAACTTTTATGAATGTAAAATACTTTTAATCATATTACAAACAAAACCAGTGTTGAGATTTCCCAATTATCCCAGTGATAGCTGAGAAGGTGCTACAGAGCCCAGAAGAACATCACATGTAATTTAGTCACAAAACCTAACCCAGAGAAAGCGTAATCTAGAAGAATATCGTTAGATGATCACTAGTAAGGAATCTGAAGGTCCTGTGCAGACTTCAGCAAACATCAAAGGTCAGGAGGTCTGCAAAGATCACAACTCCGTTACTTTGGACAGACAGGTACAAGTAATAGTAGTAGGACAGCTGATTAACACTTTGAGTACTTAGGTTAGACTAGGAACTGTTCACAGAGCCTTACACATATCAGCTTTTTTAATCTTCACAACAACTGTATGTATGAATTTTACCATTACCTCCATTTTTACAGATGAGAAAACTAAGACAGAGAGAGTTTAAGTAACTTCTCATGGTCACACATCTAGAAGCCAAAATTTGCTTGCAAGGCAGTCTGCTCCAGAGTCCCCACTCCTAACCACGACACTATACCACCTCACCTAAAATAACAGCTGTCATTTATTCAGCACTTACTAGGCGCTAGAGCTCCACCTGTAATCACCTATGCAACCATCACGATAACCCTATGAGGTCGATACTCAAATGATCTGTATCTTACAAATAAGGGAACTGAGGCAGAGGAAGGTGACTTTCCTAAGGTTATACAGCTAGTAAAGCCACAATGACTTGCCTGGGGTCACAGAGCAATCGAGGATTTAGTCCAGCAGTCTGGCTTCCGAGTTCACTCTCCCAAACATTATTCTCTCTTGCTTCTCACTGTTTCTCAGATTTGTTATCAGAGATGAACACGTTTTAACCTGAAGTCTGATGAAGGAGCTGCAAAGCGTCCTAATATCTCCCTGGGCTTGCTCTCCCTTGAAATCTCATTTATACTCCTCGATAGTCTCACCTTCATCCCCTCGCTCATACTTCATCTCCACCAGGATTCATGCGTCGCTGATTCAACCAGATGTAAATCTCACTTTAAATAAATTTGAGACACAGAATGAATTCTTGAATCGAATTTTGAATCCAATTTCAAACTCCAGTGTAACAAGATTGTATAGTAATATCTACTAGAAAATCATGCTATTATGATCTAGCAGAAAGAAAATGGGAAAGAAGGTTGTAGAAGTTTTAAATGAGGAAGTACCACAAAAAATATTTCCTATAGGGGTTGGAAGCAAGGACATGAGGTAAAGTGCAGCCCAATTGACTAAAGATGATAGGAAAAATAAGCAAAGGAAAACTGAACAGCTGTATGTTACCTAAACTTCCAGAAGTCCTAGTGCTACTACACAGGCCAAACTCAGCATGCAGAAAAGCTGACCAGCATCTTAAATGCTTGCTCATCAAGAGTTTTTAATTCCATGAAGATAATTTTTCTCATGGACTGTCCCCAGTCTATGACATTTTTAATGGAAGTAAGTGAATACAGAGAAATTTGCCTTACAGCAATTTTAGCAAACATATCTATTCCAAAAAGCAACAATCGTCTATCTTTAGATCCTCAAGACTCCGCCTCAGAGAACATTTCCACACATGATGAGTGCAGATCTGCCTTTTCAGAGAACAAGAAAACAAGGGAGACAGATATCGGCTCGCTTGTTGCAGAAATGCAGCAACACTCAATGCCTCCTAATACTAACCTCCCTGAAGGTACTCAGTGACCTGTGACTCAACCACAAACTCTAACAAGTGGCTTTCCTTTCCTTTTTGTCTCAATGATTAATGTTTCCAAATAAAAATTTGGCAGAAAAAGAAACGTTCTGTTTAATTTCCAATCTGAATAAGATTTAAGGAAAAGGAAAGCTAATCCAGGGCTACATTACACTGAAGACTACGAATGTGTTTTCAGTTAACACAGAACCCCCATAGCTATTGAGTTTCTTACAGCTAGATAAATCTGCCAGTCAGACGGTTCCTAATGCATTTGTATCTTAGGAGGAGGCAAGTGGCTGCCACATGCTTAACTCATCAGTATCTATAAAGATGCAGTATGTATTACTTAACATGATCTTCATGCTTTAGTGCCCTTACGCACACAAAGCAGTGGCAATCGGATATTTAAAACACAGACCTTTCAATGTGTTGATGAACTACTTTCAAATATAATCCTTTCAAGGTCTGCAGAGTCGTCACTGTCAATCACCACTAAGGACAGCATTTGCAAAAATGCACGCAGGTAACTAACAGCAGAAATTCCAACACTCTTACCTTTAAAGTTTTATAGTAAATGGCCCTGTTGATTTCCAGCGGAAATAAATTTTGCTCCTCTCCTGAACAAGCCCAATTCACATATCGCAGCCAGTTCCCCTTCTCTGGGTCGGTGGCATCAATACACATCCATCCCAAATTTGGGTAATATACCTTGGGAAGGGAAGAAACACCTTTGTTAAAATAGGAGGATCTTAAACATGTTCCCATTTTCAACTTGTAAAATGATTCTTTTTCATTATATGCAAGTACTCTATAAAGCATTTCACAGAAACAAAATAAATAAGCAACAGAGAAAAGAAAAATAAAAGATGAAAACTGAGATCTAAAACTGTAATCCTCATTAGTTATTTTTCTATTTGGGCTTATTTGAGTAATTTTTTTCTCCTAAACTTAAAGAGCTATAGTAAACATGCTTAATGATCTCCAAATGCTTTGCAAATGTATACACAAAGACAAGTGACAACCCTATTCCCTCAAGTGTAACTCAAAGAGGAAGAGTGAGCTTGCAGTAGTATTCCACAGCACCCAAATCCCCTGAGCTTTCTGGGTTGTTCTGCAAGTTGAGTGTGGGGGCCCAGTGGTGCCGGGGTACACAGTTCAGCAGGTCCCTTTACTGCAGGGCTGACAGGAACTTCTGGAAGTGAATGTGCAGTGGGAACCTCCACATGGATGACAGGGTATGATGATTTTGCAAACTCAGCTGACCCTGAAAACCTTCTCTACCCAGGGCATCTGTCAGGACTAAGGTGCTATGGAACATACTCTGGAAATATCAGTGTCCTTCCAAAAACAGACCAAAAACCCGACCCCTCTTTCAAAAGTCCAGTCACACCTGCTCTTGCAAAAAGCTTTCCCTGAGCACCTAGCTCAGTCAACTCCTCTCAGACGCTGCCAGCACTTATCCCTCCTTCATTGTAAAGAAAATCTACTTAGCAACTATTTTTAACTTGATCTTTGTATATATATACATTTATATATGTTTTACTTCCCCAAAACTAGACTGTAAAACATTTGATTAGGCACTGACGTAGAACTGCAGAGTCAACTGGTGACAGACCTGTCAAAAACAAAGCAAAAGAAATGAGTCTTTTACTTTCTCTTTAGGAAGAAAGGAAAGAATCTCAATTCTTCCATTTCTTCGCTACACATACACAGCCGAGACTCCCATCACTCACTTCTTTTCTCTCCTACCCACATTAAATACTCTTCTTCACTGCAACTTTCCCGCTACAACAAAGCTCCCCCTCTCCACTCTCCACTCTCTGGGCATACCTATCTCTCCAAGCCCGGGACTGCCAGGGGGCAGCGCCCACCTTACTAGACACTGACAGCACTTCCTTCCTATGGGAGTTACATGTCAGGCATAATGCTACATGCTTTCCATCTTATCGCATTTAACCCTATGCAGCAGGTTCATTATTATCTTTTTCTAACATTCGGAAATTGAGGATCAAAACTTAAATAGCTTTCCCAAAATCACCCACTTAATAGTAGTAAAGATGGGCTTAAACCCATCTGCCTGACCTCTACTTATCACCGCCTTCCTTGACCATCCTAGTTAAGACTACAAATCCTTCTATCCCATCAGCACCCCCAGCCATCCCCCCGATTTATTTTTCTTCACAGCACTTATGCTCTTTTAAAGTATGAGGTCACCTGCTTACTTACTTATTTAATGACTGTCTCTCCACACCAGAGTACTAGCTCCATGAGGAGAAGACATTCTAGCCCTTTCATTCACTACAGTACCCCCGATACTTTGATCAGAGCCTGGCAGAGAGTAGGCTCTCAATAAATCACTATGGAATGAATGAAAGGCTATCATTATACACCAATGTGTAACTGCCATCATTTAATAAGCACCTGCTATGTGACAGCACCATGCCAGAAGGTGCTTTGTAGTCACTTCATTTAATCACTGTAAGTGCCAAGGAGAATATTTTCACTATCCTATAAGTACTCCCAGTGAGTTTATTCAAAAATGGGTTGTTTACTGAAACACCTAATCTGCACCATTCTAAAGAGAGGTCATCCATCCACTCACTGTCACGCTCACCCTCAGCTCATACACACACACTTTAACGGGCATATACTCTTGTAGGAATTCATTCTCGTGAGATAATTGGGCAATGGTACAAAGTTGTATGTATAAAGCTGTTCATGGCAGTGTGGTTTACTACAACTGTTTCCAATTCATTGCTGAATGGAAAACACTATGGATCAGCTCAGCATGATAATCCATGCATATAGCAGAATACTAAGCAGACATTAAAAAGTACTGTTGTGTAAACAATTAATTGAATTACATTGAAACTTGTATTTCCTGTCAGATATTTCTGTATTCCTTAAGAATGTTTCCAGTAAACACACATTATTTCTATAATTAGAAGAAAACAAAGACAACCAGAAGTTGTAGAAATATATTTATCAGTATAAAAGATAGTTATAATACACTGAATGATTGAATAAAGCCATTTACATAAAGTATGGCTTAGGTGATACCATTTTTTGTTTTCAACATGAAGAGAAAAATAATCTGAAACTAAATATGTAAAAATGTTAATAATGGTTTTCTCTGAGAAGTGGGATTATTCATAATTTTTATTTTCCGTCTGCTTATCTGAATTTTCTACCTTTCCTCCACTGATTTAGTATAAGCTCTAAGTAACAAAGGGAAGTGGGTGGGGAGAGCAAGTTAGTCTTTTGAATGAAAACCTAAGTTTGAATGAAGGTAGCCACAGTCTGCTGAAAGCTACGCTGAAATACTCCTCCTCCTCCATCACCTTTAAAGCATGTAGTGTTCTCACTTTTACTGAGAGTCTAACCTCATAATTAGGGAATTGGATGAAAATGTGTTTTTATACAATTCCTACCTTAGTCAGTCAAACCTTGGTTTCCAATCAGAATTAAACTCAGTGATTGTTGCACAGAATCTAATCTTTAAAATGTGACAGAATTTTGTTCAATGTGACTAAAAATTACCAGACTGTAAAACTGCCGTAACACCACTAGGCCAGGGCAGTGGAAAGAGTGCAGAACCAACTAGATAGACTCTCTTCCTTCAGACAAAGACAATGCAAAGGCAGGTAAAATTCTCCCACCCCAGCTCAAACTCAACAAATGATACACAACAAATCTATTTCCACATCTTGATAATGACCAAGAAATACTCAGCTGACTTGATCCCAAGGAGAAATATTTCCATATAATCAAAAATCTTTCCTGATCCAATCTATAAAACAGTCCCTTTTCACAAAGCAAGGGTACCTGATTATGTACTATTATAAAACAATTTTTACAAGTTTACTTTCAAATGGAAATTCTCTATTTGGAGAGAAAGAACTGAAGAAAGGGAAGCACCTCTATGCAAAGCAGTGGGCCAGATGCTTTATGTGTTATTTTATTTAACCTTCACAAGAACCCTACGAAATATTATTAAGCCCCTTTTATGAATGAGGACACCAGGGAAGGTTAGCAATTTTACTAGAATACTGAAGTCACCAAAAGCCAGAGCCAGGATTCCAAGCTCATCCCCTCATTTACTCCTCCATCTCTATTTCTCCTCCTTCCTAATCCCTCCTCCCATCCTAACCTTCCCTAGTTACCCAGCCTGACCTCCCTTCTGCCCCTACCACTAAACAGAGAGACTGGGTATTAACTCTCTGTCAAACGACGTAATTTTCCTACCACCCAATTTCCATCCAATTTAATCCAGTCATTTTGAAATAGTCATAAAATAATCTAAATTCGAATTTTAGCACACATTCCAATTTAAAAACACTCACAATTAAATCCTCATGACATATAGAGAAAGGTCTGCAAAAAGCAAACCAAACTGTTACACAGTTACCTCAGGAGTTCGGGCTGAGGGTTTTACCTTATATCTCTCCTTATTTACTTGTTCAACTGTACCTGTATTAATTCAAATTTGTAAATTAAAAAAAAATTCTCATTCAATTAATGCAAACGTACCATCATGCGAATCCTCAACTGTTTGCCTCTGAGGTCCTTACCCACTCTCAACCTGCAGTAGCCACTCACTTTGACCGAAATCACTCCTGAGAATTAAGACAGGGCAATGAAGACACCTCCTCATTCTAAGGTAAGGTAAGGTAAGTCTTTTATTCATCCAAACCAGCCCCCCAATGGTAGAGTCGACAGTAATAAGGCCATTCCAGTGGCGGTGCTCTGGACCTCCCCCTCCAATGGCATGTAACCTAGAGCTCAAACACATTAGTGATGGAGACAGAGCCTTTCCTGGAGGTCCAAGCTCCACTCCAGTGGTTCTAGTCCATCATACTGTCTGAGGCTCCTTTTCACCTTTATTTCTCAGGGGATCTAGCTTGTATTTTCTATTATCTATACACCATTTCTCACATTCCCTGTCTGCTCCTGGAAGACAGAAAGTATCTAATTATATTTCCATTTGTTTAGACTGACAGAGGAGTGAAGGGGAGAAAGGAGGTTAACATCCCCATGAGCCCAACTTGTACAGCATTTACCTCCAATGCATTTCCATAAGTGAACAATAACTCAGCTTTCAGAAGCCAATTCCAGGATTGGCCCCCACACAGTATTCTAATTTTTTGGTTCAAAATATAGGCCATATTCTAACATTAGACGTGAAAGAAATTCTAAGCAAAAATGAAGATTGGTAATCTTTTAAAAAGTACTCAAAAAAACGTTTTTATCCTCTACATGATCCTTCAAGTGTTTTTTTTTTTTTCTGATGTTTAGGCTCAACTAATATTTACTGAGAGTCACCTATATCAAGAGTCTCTATATCAAGTAATTTCATATACATCATCTCATCTGTAGCCAAACAAATCTATGAGGAGCTTGTTATCCTCATTTAAAAGTGAGGATAAAGAAAAAAAGGATAACCTTGTGGTATAAGAGCATTCCAGTGAGCCTTCATTTAATAAATGTCATATCTCTGTAAGATATAAAGAATTTTATTAAGACTGCTACCTAGAAAATACTATACCTTCTTGGTAGGTTCACATTCCAGTTGTTTTTGAATTACAAAACTAGATACCTGGAGGGCTTGTTAAGGATCATAAAACGGCCACCCCACAGAAGTAACTTTCCAGTGGCTGCAGAGAATGCATCTTTGATACCAACCACTTCATTCCTAAGATTGTTTTAGA